GAACAATTCTCAGTTAAGGTGTTTAAATGAAAAAAATGGACAAGTTTAAGAGGCTACATATGTATTCACCCTTACTTTCTTTATTTAACAGTTTCTCCATTCCAAACTACTTATAGCCGGTTGGCCATGAAATTATTCACTTTTTTCGATTTTTTGTTTTCCTTTTTTTTTCGAGTCAATGTTTGGCCATAAAATTTTTAATATCACTTGAAAATGCATTTTGAAACTTTTCGAAAATCTGAAAAACTCCGAAAAGTTATTTTCAAAATTTTCACCCAAATCTTTCAATTAAAAAATTCAAAAATAACCCAAAATTATATTCATGTCCAAACGTAACTCTAATTTTCAACTACTATTTTCAATTAAAAAAAGATTTCACTTTTTTCGGAATTTTACAGTTCTTATGTCCAAACGGCCACTTAATTTACTTCTGCGCCATTTGGGTAATTTAGCTGGCATGCGTACATCTTTAAAGTTTGCCAACTAAACATGATCCATAATTTGATTTTTTTTAAAATAATAATTATGGTGTTAAAATTAGCTTTACATATAGATGTAATTGGATGGTTATGTATTAGTGTTGGTCCAAGTGCCGTCTGTTTTTTACCAAGTTGATAGGTGCAGGAATTAAACCAACAACACATATGACTTTTATTTGAATCGCGCTTATTCAATTTATCATTTCTTGTGATCGGCTTATTAATTTTTATACCTTTGTTTGAACTGTAGTGTACAAATATTAAGCTTTGAACCATACTATATGTTCTAACTTTTGTACATAAGTGCAGAGTTCAAGATTTAGTAAATTAAATAGAGTGCAAATATAATTCTTACTTTTTGTATTACCCCCGAAATGATGTAATTGGTTTAGATTCCCGTTTGTTATAATTTCGTTATTACATTGCTTTCTTGGTTAAACTTAAATGCTTTAACTAGACTTGGAAAATTAATTTAGGCTAGAAAAATAACCTTATTTTACACTAGACTTGAGAGATGTCTAACATTTTCCTCTCAGATTAAATGAGACTTTAGATTCCCATTGAGAGTCATTTTAAATAAAAGGCTGTCTTATTCATTCATTTATTTATTATTTCGTTAATTTATTTTCATATTTTATTGTTAATTAATTATTTTAAAAAATAAATTTTGTGACCTTACACAAGAATAAACATAGGTGGCGACTGCAAACTATAATATGCGTTCTAAAAAAGAGTCCGAAACTTTTTTGATGTTTTTTTGGACAAAAAGCACATTTTTAATGCTAAAAAAAGAAGTTACACAAATAGGCACTTCGCAGTACTATACTGCGAATTGACTTAACGAAAATTTAGCCGTTAAGCTAATTCGCAGTAGAGTACTGCGAATTAATAAAAAAAAAATTAATTAATGCGCAGTAGAGTATTGCGAATTAGTTAAAAAATTATTGATTCGCAGTATTCTACTGTGTATCATTAAAAAAAATTTTTTTTTAGCTAATTCGCAGTACTATACTGCGAATTAGGTATTTTTTTTTTATTAATTTGGCCTCCACCAATAATTAACTGACATAACAATAATTCAAACATATAAAACGTAGTATTGTACTGCGAAGTACTTAAAAAATTCTGCACCTTGCCTTATTTAAAGGCGTTTCAGTTTTATGAAAATTCATTCAATACAAACTCAAACTTCCGTTCATACTTCTCTCTTCTTCTTATCAATCATTTTTGTACAATGTTTGAAGAGCCAAAAATAAGGGTTTCATTATATTGGAGGGAGGGGGGGGGGGTGAGGTTGTGCTGGAGAATAACTCTGTGAGGTATAGCTCACCTCCACAGTGTCATGTTAAATTGCCGCTTACTATGGAGTACGATACATTGGTATCGTTGTTACGTAAAAAAATGAGTGAGAGGAGGCGTTCGGTTAACCTTAAAGTAACCGGTAGATTTCCATATTCAGTGACTCCGCAGGGCTTTGCTTATTATTCTGAGTTTAACATCGAGGATGATGAAACTCTTAGAGATTTTTTGCGGATTCCGGATGAATATAGGTAATTTATTGTAATAAAATTATTGGAAATGTACGTCAAGGTGGAAGACGTTCCCAATAATGAGGGCGTGCGTAGTAGGGATAACCCCCGGTCATCGGGTGGTTATTCTGGAGCAGTTTTTGCCGGACAGATTGCTGATGAAAAAGCTTGCCTTGATTTAAACTTGTCACCACCAGCGAATGAGCAGCCACAAAATAATTTTTCGACTTTATATAATCAACAAGACGACTGGTAAACTTCAATTTTACTACGCTTTAGCGATGTTTATTTTATATTTTAATTGGAATTGTATTAACACTCATATTTTTCATAGGGGGTACCGTCCGGATATGAATTTTACAAGTTATGACCCCGCCCCTAGTTGGAATATGCGTAGTTTTGGAGTATTGGACCACGGTGGTCCATCCGGGAGTCATCACCAACAAGAAAATATCCATCATGAAACGTCAAGACAGTACGATTTGTAAGTAAAGTGATATAGCTATATCTAAAGTATTTTTCCGGAGTTTTGGGTAACTTATCTTTTTGTTCTTTTTGTATAGTGAAAACGAGCTTCTTGAAGCTCCTGACCTCACACAGTTGCCCATAGACGACGTATTTACTCGTGATTTGGCAGATGCGCAGAGTCAGGAAGATGATAGTGATTATGACAACAATGCGTATGAGTCTGGGGATGACACACCCTTCCATGATGAGGGTGATGATGAGGAGGAGGAAGTGAATGTTGAACCTGAGCTGACGAGGGAGCATGTTCCTCCACCTCCCACTAGACCAAGAGTGTACGAGTCCCACGTGCCATTTCATGAGCGGAATATTCCCTACCTTGATAATTTGCCAAGCCTGCCGAACGTGGATGCCCTCGCAAGGGATGATGATGAATTTCGGTCAGCGATGTGGGATGAGTCTAGACCAGCTGTTCTGACAAAGGGCATATATTTCCCCGATAAAGCTCGCCTAATTAGGGCTGTAAAAATCTACAGTATAAGAGAGTGCCGTGAGATGATGGTAAGTGAGTCAACTACGGAGAAATACAAGGCTGTATGCCGTAGGTGATTTATGGGTTGTCACTGGATGTTGCGTGCCACCAAGAAGAAATCAGGTTTGTGGAAAGTGGGTAAATTTATTAGCGAGCACAGATGTGAAATGGACACATTCAATGAGAATCACTTCAACTTGGATGTGGACTTGATTTCCCTTGTCTTGATTCCATTTTTGGAAGTGTCCATTAGGTTCAAGATTAAAGAGTGTATTACAATCGTCCACCAGGAGTATGGTTGTACTATAACCAAAAGAAAGGCATATCTCGGTCGCAAATGTGTCTTTGAACTTATTTATGGCAACTGGGATAAGTCTTTTTCAAATCTACCCAAGTACATGGCCGCATTGCAACACTTTAACCCCGGGACTGTTGTTGAATGGAGGCGTGAGCGGAGTCCGGACAGACCCGAATATATTTTCAACTATGTATTTTGGTCATTTAAACCAGCAATTGATGGTTTTGTGCATTGTCGTCCTGTAATTTCCATAGACGGTACTCATGTCTATGGAAAGTATGATATTAAGCTTTTGATTGCAGTTGCTGTAGATGCCAACGGATAAATATTTCCACTAGCTTTTGCCATTTGTGCCAATGAAAGTGAAGAGACGTGGACGCTTTTTTTGAACCACTTGAAGCAGCACATTGTCAAACAACGTTCAGGTATTTGTCTAATATCTGATCGACATGGTGGTATTTTAAGTTCTGTAAGTCACTTGCCTGAATGGCATGAACCATATGCATACCATCGTTACTGTTTGAGGCACCTGAAGGCCAATTTCCAGAAGAAATTTCCTGACAAGGCCTTGCATGACTTAATGTGGATGGCTGCAACTGAGCACCAGCAGTGTAAATTCACGAGGCGCATGGAAGCGATCCGGTAGATAGATCCACGAGCCTATACTTGGTTGATGCGACATGAGCTTCACATATGGACATTGCATGTTGATGGCGGTAGACGATGGGGAGCCCTCACTACAAACGTGTCGGAGTCATTCAACGGCTTGTTGAAGTCTGCCCGTGGACTGCCTGTCACTGCCATGGTTCGCATGACATTCAAATAGAGTGCGGAGAGGTTTGTTGAAAGGTATGCAGCTGCATCGACATTGATGGACAGGGGTGTTGAATTTATGCCAATACCCATGAGAAGATTTGAAAGGTCCAGGAGGCGAGCACAGTGACATTCATTTCTTCAGTACGATCATGAACGGAGTGTTTTTGAAGTTAAGACCGCTATCCACGGACACCGTGGGAACAATCTACATACGGTGAATGAAAATAGAAGGTTATGTTCGTGTGGGAAATGGACCATCTACCACATGCCGTGCGCACATGCGTTGAACTGCTTTCAACAAGTTGGATATGGGGCAACAAACTATATTGATAGGTAATACAATGTTCACTACAAGAAAATTGTAAAATTGTGACGGAATATTTGAGACGAAGCATTCTGTCACAAACTGTGACAGATTTGTGACGCATTTATGACAAATCAACCTTACATGGACGAAATTATCAAAAGATTTTATTTTTTCCTAAGAAAATTCTAAGAGTAACGGATTTGTGATAAATTTGTGACAGATATGAAATTTAGTCTTTGTGACGAACATATTTTTGTCACAAAATTATGGCAGAAGAGAAGAAATGGCAATACTTTGTCAAAAATCCGTCACAAATTTTGTGACAGATTATATTTTCCGTCACAATATTATAAAAGAGCAATTATCTAATAAAAATAATTTTGTGACGGATTTATTTTCCGTGACAATAATTTTTGACGGAACATTCTGTCATAAATTTAGAAACATTTGGACAACTTACAAATTTTTTCCAAAATATTTGGCCCACTTTTTAGTTTCCCCCGCCAAATATTTGTCCCACTTATTAGTTTCCCTCCGTCAAACCTCTCATTCCACAAAACTCCTAAGACTTAGACCCATTTTCTCATTCCACTCCTCCCTGCTTCTCTCTCTCTTTCAACACAAAACACAAATGGCGATTCTTGTACCCTTCTAGACTCAACGCCACAGCAACACTTGCAGGTTTGGTTTTGCTCCAGTCTCTTCCTCCACACTCAATAGCTTTTGGATCTTTCAATTTTTGTTCAGATTTGTCTATGTTTTTCTTGAATATTATTTTCCAAAGTGAATAACATTTGGGTATTGCTGTTGGGTTCTTCTATCTAAGCTCAGAAAACTCCGATTTAGCTAAAAAGCTTTTGCATGCAACTATTTTAGGTACAATTTTTAAAGGGTCTTTATTAAGCTTTGATATTGGGTCATTCACTTGAAGTGGGTTTGAAATACTTCTGAGATAGGTGAGATTTTAGTTTCTTGTTTATGATTTGGTCTTAATTTTGAGCAAAGGAAAAAGCTCTAATTTTGCTAAAGGAAACAATTGTGCTTATTGTAGATATCAACTTTGTTGTCTTGGAAAAAAGTAAAAAAATGAAGAATGTGCAGGCTTTTGTTTTCCAGCTTTTGAAAAGTTTTTCTATATGCTTAATAAATTTCTGATATTTTTTAGGTAATAATTTTCTGGTTACTAAGATGAATATGATCCTTGTTGTTAAAACAAGACTCACCCCTATTTGAGCTAATTCATCATTGTAGTTCATAGACAATTCATCAACCTCCTCATAGGATATAACATTCATGGTAGAGTTACTGTCGCAATGGTTAGGAACTCAAAATTACTCTTAGTTGTCGAAAGGGGCCGGGTGCGTAGGATAAGCCTCATATTGAGTGCATTTGAGTGTTTCAAAAATTCTTTAGGAGTGGTGGTGATTTTCAATTTGCTATAACTTGTGTTATTATACCTTCTTTTTGGTTGTTTTTGGTTATATACCTGCTATATATGTTGCTTCCTGACTCTAAATTGATTTATATTATTTTATTGCTGGAATCTCATAAAGTAAACTCTTCAACAATATTAATTATCTTATTTATCTTGTCTAAATGTCTTAAACTATGGTCATTTATATTTTTCTGTTTCATTCTCTTTTTTGGATCAGTTTCTTCAACATATAGGCAAGGAGTCAAGCACCTCCCTAGCAGAAAGATTAAAAAAGAAATTAACAGTTCCAAGAAGTACGCAGTTCTAGATATTTTTCTGATTTATCTAGTGAATGGTAATTTCTATTTCAATATTTGGCATTACATATGTTTTTTCCTTGGGACTTTAATTGATGTTGATACAGTTAGGTAGGAAACTTGTGACTTTTCTAGTTATAACTAAATCTTGTTAAATTAGTGCCATTTTCTGTTGGATTCTATAGCAGAATGCAAGCTTGACATGTCTGCTTTAGTACAAATATGTTCTAATAGATTAAATTTACTTTTTAAAAAATAGCTAGATGATAGACAACTTTAATTACAACAAATAATCTTGTTTGTCATCATGTAAGTTCTAACACATGTTTATTCTTTGTGTTAAAGTGTACAATATGAATAATTCTGATCGTGAGCGGATGTATGGTAGAGTATTGGAAGATGGATTCATAAATCCTAGATTTATTATAGGGGTTGAGGAGTTTGTTTCATTTGCTAAAAGACATCCAGAATGCATGGATTGTGAAAAGCTAAGATGTCCTTCTAACACCGGTTCAGGTTCGGGTTCGTTCCTAATGGTCATTCTATCTCGAAGACCATCACTGATACCTTCATGGAGCGACAAGATGCTACTGGTTACACATGGAAGGTTGTCTGCCAATCCACTCGTGACTTCTATTGGCATGAATTTATGGTAAATATCGCTTTCTATAAAAAAAATATAAGTAATTATTTAGTATATATATGTATTTATGTCACTGATCAAATATCTTTTGTTAGAAATTATATCATTGGAGTTCTGCTGAGGATGCCATAATCAAACATACTTGGAAAAAAGTGGCATCTACCTTGTACACTAAAAAGCGGCACAAGTGGTAGAAATTTACAACCAGACCTACTTTTATTAAAGAGCATATATGGGAAAGCTGGCAGGCACACTGGTCATCGGAAAAGTGGCTTGAAAAATCTCGTGTCGCCATTCAAAATCGGTGTAGCAAGACTGGTGGTCCAGGCACTGGTCCAAGCAAGCATACCGGTTGTTCTAGGTCTACAGTGGAGCATACTATAAAATTGGTATTGAATTTAACCTTTCAATAGAGTAATTATATGACCTTATCTCCTATTTTAATATTGTACTCTATTATTCAGGCAATAGAATTACATCGTCCAGCAAATTCATGGGATATATTTAAGAAGCTGCATAAAAGAAAGGATGGGAACTTTGTGGATACCAAGTCTAAGACTGTTGGTGTAAGTTTCTTTTATAATATTTCATCATTTTATTTGAGAATGAATATGAGGAATATTACTGGTGCAATCCACTTATCTGAAAGCTTCTTCACATCATCTCATTTCTTGTTTAATTAGCATTTCATTTCTTGTTCTGATGCAGAAATGAAACACATATTGTGACTTATTCTATTTCTTATTGTGCTTCAAAGAATCAGATTATGAGTCACTAAGTATAAGTTTATTTTTACTTAAGAAGAATATCAGTTGAAAGCTTGTGATAGCATTCTATTCTGGTCTAGTTTTTTTATTCTAATCTTGAAAATGATATCATATGAGTCTATGACAAGTTAATAAATGACAATTATTTTTATGAGTTTTAGAGATTTGCTTCTTTGCATCTGTGATTCAAGTTTTAAACTACATATAATGAACATTGCTTCTTTAGTTGCTTACGTGAGTGAGCTGTAAAACTTATATAGGAAATCTTTGTATATTACTCTCATTTAGTTTCTATTTTGATAAATGTNGAGAGAAGAAAAGACGTGTGTATGGATTGGGCTCTCAAGCTGCGACTTTGTATCAAGGCTGCAATTCTGCCACTTCACGCCATTTGCCTGTAGTACCAGATCCCGCTGCTGAAGAGCGCATCAAAGTGCTTGAGGAGGAGGTGTTGCGTATGAGAGAAACACAAGAGAGGATTCTTCAAGAGCGCGTGGAGGCAGAGGTGCAACAACGCGTAGACCAAGAGGTCTCGCGTTTGAATCAACAGAAGGATGATCGATTTCGGTCTATGGAGGAGCGATGGATGCGCAGGATGAGCGAGATGGCATTATCATCTCACCCATCTGGTGTTCCTACTCCCTTTAACAGGGACTAACCAAATGCTTTAGTATTTAACATTGTTAGACTTTAGCTACTTGGATACTCTCTAAGTGCTATTTTAACGTTGGCAGGCTTTTGATTATTGGATTTGTAATTTTTAATATGTTTAGACTTTTGCTAGTAGAACTTATATTTTGGCATGTTTTAACTTCGTATGTTTTATTATATATTTCATATTATGTTTGTTATGGTTGGTTGTTGTTGTCTGTATGCTTTTAGCTAATTTTTTCATAAGTATTATTAATTATTTGTTAAAGCTGAAAGTCCAAAATTAAATTTGTGACAGATCTACATGGTCAAAAATATTCACCAAATTCTTAAATAGTGATGGGAATTTATGTGTCAGAAATATTATGTATCCCAAATCTGTCACTAATATAGCTGCCAAATGTGTCAATTTGTGATAGAAAATTTTGTCACAATTTATTTGTGACAAAATATTCTGTCACAATTGTTGTGAATATATAAATAAATTTGTCTCGAAAACTATTCTGTCACAATAATTGTCACGGATATATCTGTCACAAATCCGTCTCTATTTTGTGACAGAATCAAGCTATATGCAGGCCTCTATATAGCGACGGACAATTTTGTCATAAATCTGTCACAAAAATTTTGTGACCGAAATTTGATCCGTCAAAAAAAATTTACGACCAAAGGTTCTGGGACGTCCCCATTTTTGTTACAATTCCGTCACTAACACAAATTTGTGACGGAATTGTGACAGAACCGTCCGTCACAATTTTGCCATTTTCTTGTAGTGTCCGTTTCATATTAAATGAGGTACTTTCCTTTTTAGTCTGTTCCAAAATAAATGACACGTTTCTAAATTTGGAAATAATTCAACTTTAAACTCCTCATTTTACCCTTAATGAGAAGCTTTTATAACCACACAAAAATCATGGCCCATAAAGCTTTACCCCTTAAGCTTTTAAGACTACAAATTTCAAGTCTTTCTTTTTTCCTTAAACTTCGTGCCGAGTCAAACTACATCATTTAATTTGAAACGGAGGGAGTAGTTTTTATAGTGTCCTTGAGATAAAGAGTCTGTTTGGAAAGCCACCTTGTAATTGGAATTGGTGTTATTACTAGGGTAGTAATTACACAGCCTAGTAATTACACAGTTGTGTAATTACGATAGCCTGTTTGTTTGTCATAGTGTAATTACAGTGTAATTACAAGTTTACAGTTTGGTTGCACAAGTGTAATTACACAGTTAGATTAAATTTTAAATTAAATAATTATCAAAACTAAAAATTAATATAATAAATATATACCTATAAGATTTTATAAGTATAAATGATAATATATTTGGTATTTAAGATGTATATTTTTTCGTGAATATACATTAATTAATAATCATATATTTATAACTAATATTGTTAAAATAATTTATATATATTTTAAATTAATAATATTTAGTTTAGATACTTACAAAAACTAAAAAAAATATACGTTTTGTAAGAACATCATGGAATTTATGTTTGATATAATAAAATATTTATAATTATAGTGTCATAACATTATTCAAATGTTTGACAAAACTAATCTACCAATTCTAACTAAAAAATGAACAACATGCAATGTGAGTTAATACTACAAAACAAGTAAACTGGAACCATGAATATAACACAATTTCAAAAATTCAAAAAATAAAATAGTTTAACTTATGTCAAATTCCAACATAATAATAGTAGGTCTCACTGCAACTTAAGATAGGAAACATGATAAGTTTATAACCACATTTAACAACGAAGTTCCACTTTAATTGCATCACTCATTATATGCCAAGTTTATTAATGACTCATTATTTCTAATATTAGGAGGTGTAGTTTCAAAAAATAAAATAATAAAATAAATAAAAAATAAAATATAAGCAATTACATGGAATCACAAGAAGTAAAGATAGAGAAATAAAAGATAAATAATGTACAAAGAAAATATATTTTAAAATTTCAAAAGAAATTAAAAAGTAAAAATAAAATTAAAAAATTAAAATAATAAAAATAAAAGGTTATAAAGAAAATAAATTAAAATAAAAACAAAAAGAAAGAAACTAAAAAGCAACCTTGTAATTACACAGTGTAATTATCATCAATTCTCACCTCCCCTTGAGAATTGGAGAGCGTAATTACACCCCTCCAATTATCCCCAATTTCATGTTGACCAAGTAATTACTTGGCCAAACAAATATGCCAAACTGTGTAATTACACCCAATTACACCCAAATTTAATTCCAAGGTGACTTTCCAAACAGGCTCTGAATGTGGATAATTATAAGAGCATACGACAATATGAAGCAAATCAAATTCCACAACAAATACGGAACCGCCTTACCTGCAAATTAAAGATTGATGAAGTTGCTAATAGAAACTGTAAGGAATTCTTGCTTATCTGAGTAATTTGCGCCAGAAATCGGCATATCCAGAATCTCCATCAGTACGTTGTTCTATGTTTCTAAATATATTCTTGTTTCCACTTTGCTTTTTTTTTGAAATCCTTTGCTTAATTTATGTATGATTTCAATATTTCCGTTCAAATGAACAATTTCAATATTATATATTTCAGCTTCCGGATTCAACTTATCTTTATATTTCTTAATGTTGCATTGGTTTGTAGAATAAAAATATGGAGCTCTATGATAAGAGAGGTTAAACTTACAATATTTCTTATTTGAGATGCAACAAAGTTAATACATTTCGTCGTAGAAACACTACTAAGGTTGAGATTATTAAAGCGAGGTATACTAATTAGTAAATTATGGACGATGACTAATTTCAGAACTATAACTACGTCGTAGTTTCAACAAAAAGTCTCAGATCTCATAACGTGCTAGATTTTGTAAGTCAATCTAAAATATTTAAATGGATCAATTTAAAAAGAGCTGACATATATCTTTGGAACAACAATAGCGCCGTTCAAGTCTGTTTTCAGAAAAGCTAAGTGTTTTCAATTGATTTAGATGCTCTATCCTAAAGATATAAACATTTTGATGAAGGGCTAGAAGAATCAATATGTCAAATCTCTGCGCATCAATTTAAAAATTTTACCTAGTATAGTTAAGTATACTAAGTATGGAATATATTAAGCAAGAGAAAGATTCAAAGAAACTGCCACATTTCTTCTCTCCCACTCAACTACAATATCACGATATATTGTGACGACTAGTCTTGGTCTACCTCAAATGAAATGGCTTACTCGTGTAATTTTATATATATGTATAGTGCAATACGAAAATATAATTATATACTTTTAGAACTGTTAAATGTGCCAAATGTCTAGTGTGGAGAATTTCCATCTTATTTCCAAGCTCATATCTGGTAACTACAATCTAATAAACTTATTCAACAAACCTCTATAGAAATCTGATGCTATAAAAGCATGATCACAAAGAGTTTTCAGCTGAGTACCAATATAATTGAGAATTAGTTGTCACAACATGAAACCATATGCTATTGCTCTCATACTCTTTGGCTCTAATATAGCCTTGTTTTTTATTATGATTTTCCTTTGCAACGTTTTCCGAAAGACAAGCCACCATGTAACTGCTGGTTCTTCGCCTCCTCCTCCTCATTTACAAGTGAACCGTGATGCTGAAAAGGGTGGAATTACACCCAAGAACACAACAAGAGCTGCTGTTATCACTAGTGCTTACAGTAGTGGTGGTGGTGGTGGCGGCGGCAGAGGAGGGATAAGCAGCAGCAGTTGGGGTGGAGGTGGTGGCTGTGGCGGTGGAGGCGGTGGTTGTGGTGGCGGTGGTGGTGGATGCTGAGACGTTAGAGAGATTAAAAAGAGAGAATTATATCTTCTTTGTCTGTCTTCTGCTTTGGCTACTTTTTAGTGTATCATGAGATTGGAAAAATGAATTTGTTATATACATTGTAGAGTGAAATTTATTTGTAACGTAAGTATTGTAAATATTTATTTACAATTTCAGTGCATAGAGTTCATTAAATGACGTTTTCAAACAAGTTTAATGGGTAATTTATGCCTTTTCTCAATAAAGAAAACCATGATTTCTATGATTGTCTGCACGTCTTTCCATCCTATAAAACACGTACGTAAAAATCGTGGCAATGCTGACCATTACAAAATGTCAACAATCTCAGCGTTAAAAAAAACAAAAAAAAAAAAAAAGACTAACTGGTATTACATGTGATCGGAGGTCACCAGTTCGAGCAGTGGAAACAGCTTCTTGTAGAAATGCAGGGTAAGGTTGCATACAATAGACCATTGTGGTCTGGTCCTTCCCCGGACCCAGTGCATAGCAGGATCTTAGTGCACCGGGTTGCCCTTACTAACTGGGGTCCGGCCCTTCTCCGGAGCCGTGCATACCTCAGCATTGCTTACTCATTTAGAGACTTGTGAAATGCAACATGCGCAGAAAGGAAGAAATAATTAGCTAGCTTTGATCCATTTACTACTACATCATATAGGAGTTGGGACTGCTCACCTCAAATATTGTGGATGAATCTGATAAATATATTGGATACTAATTAAACTCAATCCTTTTTTCAGGATCTTGATGTTGACTTGATCTTGAAACAAGTAGTTCAATGTCTTTGTTAACCTCAAACATATATACTTTAGCAAGGTAAATAGCAATCAAAAATCTGATAGTCCCTCTGTTATTTCTGCTTCGCTACCAGGGGCGTATCTAGGTTAATGCATATGGGTTCACGTGAACCATAACAATGTTACATTTTTTCAAAATAGTGTGTGCCCCCATGCTCAAACACTCCTATGGTGCAATAATTACTTGGTGCACCTCTACAAGTGAAATTGGCGGTTTAAATCCTACTCTAGACAGCCTTATTTCCGGCACGAAGTATAGATTTATAAGTGAAAATCACTAAAATTTCAAAAAGAATATAATTTTGAACCTATAATTTCAAAAGTGTAGTGGGTTCATGGTAAGAGGCTATAGTTAAACCCGTCAAATATAAATTTTAGATTCACCTCTTCGTAATAGTGCACCCATCCTTTTAAAATCTTGGATCCGCCTTTGTTTCGCTACCTATTGATGTTGGGTATAATTACACAATTTTGGTTGTTTGTCTAAGTAATTACTTGATCAACATGGGATTGGATGTAATTGAGGGGAAGAAATTAAACGCAGGTGAGAATAAGTGAGGAGTAATTACAAAATAACTTTTCAAATCTCCTTTTATTCTTCTCTTTCAAAAGTAAATTATTATGGATGACTCATTTCAGAAACTCAACTAGTAGTCTCAACAAACAATTTCATGATCTACTAGATAGACTAAGCATGGAATTAAGCAAGAGAAAGATTCAAAGAAATTGCCACATTTCTTCTCTTCCACTCAACTACTATGTCACAATTATGACGACTTAAAATATATAAGGCCTTGGTCTTGCCTCTATTTATATTTCTTGTGCGAAAAGAAAAAATAAATTGATACTTATAAAGACTTCTAAGGGAGCCAAAAGTCTACTGTAAAGAACTTCCATCTAGTTTTCAAGCTCTAATTTGGTAGAATCTTCTACATAGAAAATTGGAAGTTGCACTGCCTTAGTTACGCTATCTGATGCTATAAAAGCAAGATAAAGAGTTTTTAGTTTGAGTACAATTCAACAAGTTATTATAAGATGAAAGCATATGCTATTGCACTCATAGTTTGTGGCTCTGTAGCAGCTCTAGTTTTGATTTTGTGTTGTCTATGCAATGGTAGGCGAAAGAGAAAGAGCCAACCTGTGACTCGGAATGTGACTGGTTTTGCTCCCCCTCCTCAACCTTTACAAGCAAACCGCGATGTTGAAAAGGGTGAAATTACGCCCAAGAGCACAGCAGTTACAAAAGATGGTGGAATGGTTATTTTAGGAGCTACTGCTGCAACTGTGGCTACGGCTGCTGTTATAACTAGTGCTTACAGTGGTGGTGGCGGCGGTGGAGGGACGAGTAGTTCGGGTGGAGGTGGTGGCTGTGGCGGCGGAGGTGGTGGATGTGGGGGCGGTGGTGGATGTGGAGGCTGTGGAGGTTAAAGAGAGTTAAACTACCTTCTGTCTGTCTTCTACTGTGGCTACTTTTTATGTATAAAAAAGTTGGAGTAGTGAAGCAGTTTGAGAACAGTACAAAACACTTTTGAAAATCAGCAAATAAATAATTCTATGTACCATGAGATTGGAAAATTGGATTTAAATAAACAACCATGATTTCTATAAAATATACTATGTACTTGAGTAAGATCGTGAAAATGCTGATCACTTGCAAGAAATCAATCTCAGCTCAAGTGAAACTAGCAGTAATAGCATTTTGTCCAGATCAATAATTAAGCATAATACAAATTGGAATTTTCGTTTGTAAACACTACAAAAGTGTCTTCCAATAGAGCTTCAGATGACTCTACCTCAGATTTTCTAACCCTATAACATCAGCAAACTTAAGTAAATTACAAGGAGAAAAAGGAATAAAAGGTGGCTACGCAATCCAAATGAAAGAAATAAGCCTATAACATGTCCCCAGTTGGAAGGGGCAGAGAGCTGAAAACTGTAGAAGATTTCCTTCTGGAACACAAATGCAATTGGCAGATTTTGAATCACATTGATCACTGGAAAACAATGTTCCCCGGAAACTTGTGGATGTAGATTCGGGATCAACGGAATGAGAGAGGGAGCTCCTCGTGCAACTTTCTCAGTCGGATTTCTTTAACCTAGTAGAGTATCAATTGCGAAGTTTCTCCTCACCCTCTTTATGGGCTGGGAATTAGACGAGCGGTCAGGTACTTGGTGGAGTTAACCACTTGAAAAGCCAAAACTTTCTTTGTTGCCGAGCACTTGTTTACTCATTTAGAGACTTGTGAAATGCAACCTGCATAGCAAGTATGTATTATTAGTTTTCATTCATGCACCACATCAATAGGAGTCGCTCCTATTAGAGTACAACTATATCACTACTATCAATATGTGCAATATGAAGAAGCAACAAAAATTCACTTTGAAATGGTAAGTAATGTCAATTAACATACAGAAGTGGATGTTTTCAGCAGCTCCCTCACAGCCATAGTTGCATAGCAAGAAGCTGGTAGTGTAAAGCTCAGCTTGAGAGCCATCTGGCTCTCTTGAGCATTACCGCCACTCTGAGATTTCTCTGATTGCATCGTTTCACTGTTAATCTTTTCCTCACGACCTTTTCCCGGAAGCATGTCACCACCTTCAGATATTGCTGAAGATGTACCATAGTCAGCAGCAAGTTCCTCGCTTCCATTGGTCGACTTCTCCTCTCTGACCTTGCTTTTCTTTACTGACTTGGCAATGGCATCAAAATCTGTCTGTGCTAGAGGTATAGTTCCATCAGTGTAACTAAGCAATTCCCTACAAAACAATAAATGGCTTCAAAAAAGACGAAAATGGAAACTTGTCCAATACAACAATAAGTTACAAGCTCACATCGACGGTTTGCGCATCAAGGGCGAGAATCAGAGTTCTAGAAAATATATCCAAATTACATTTTTGTAAACCGGCATATATTACTCAGATCAATCATGAATTCACAATTACATCTCTGACACAGCAGTTTACTGAGATTTCAATTCATTTTAAAATCTGAAGTGCATTCTTTATGATAATAGTAACAAAAGTACTAATAATGTTGAAGTGCATTCATATTGATGATTATAATGAATAAAAATAGTTAATAACAATAAGGGTAGTTGGCAAAATTATTAGTATTATTATCTTGTGGTGGAAAACCCAAGGTTCCCAAGGATCCAAACAAACCCTAACACAGCAAATCGCACAAGATATGTTTCAAGCCCTTGGGCTGCTGAACAGAATTCAAGCAAACCCGGGAGAGATGGAACAACGTGACAACAGAGTAAACTGAAACTAGCTATGTGCAACCATGTCTGACCTACCATTCAAAATCCTTCGGCTTTTGAAACACACGTCTGTAAGCTCCGGTCATATTAGTTATGGAGAATTCCCTGTAACAGAGAGGACCAGACACAAAAGAAGTAGTCATAAGGGAGGGTTTAAGTTCAATAAATGACATTAGATCATCTATAGCAACAATTATAGAGACCGTAGAGTAGAGAAATAATTCTTTTATCTTCCACAACTTCAGACTTCAGTCTATTCTAGGGTTAATGCTAATGAAAGCATAAAGTAACGCTTTTTCCACACATGATCTCCTTTTTACAATGTACTTCTTTTCCTTTTGTGCAAGAAATCTATTATGCTAAAGAAACATACAGCAAAGAGAAAAGTAAATCAGATGGTATCATGGCCATAGACATGATTTCTGCGAGGTCTTTTGAGAGAGAACTTTATAGATGGCACTTTACCTCAACAGCACATTTAACAGATTTAGGTAAATTCTTACCTGCATCTTGATCAATGGGCAGTTTAGCGCACAGTCTAATGCTCTAAAAAAGAGGTATTCTAATCATTAATTTAGTTGGTTCCTATTCATCTATGGAACATGAACCATTTCTGGTACATTAGAGAAGGCCACACAGGATAATATAAAAGCTGATCTGTTGATGACAGACGTCAAGGGTCAAATTATAGTTACAGATTCAGGGAAACACCCAGCTCGGTGGTTATCGAAGATGGTAATATTCGTTAGAGTCTGAACTTCCCGGGGAAAGTAACTAAGATGATGCCAATCATCGAATAATTTATGCCAAAAAAGAACAGATTTAAAATTGAGGAAGGCCGGAAAGCAACCTTCGATGAGTAGAGTAGCCCAAAACCACAAAAAAGTGGATCATTATTCAAATTTAACGAAACATGTTTTACTCACTTGATCTTATGCGCAGTCTCTGTCAAGCTGATACCATCCTGACCAGTAATGATTGCGAGTTAGAAGGGAACAAAATAAAAGAGAGTAGATATGCGTCAGTCATCACAAGTGGACTGGACGAAGGTATTGATAACTTCACAGGCAAATCTCTTTAAATTATTCTACTTCTCCATGTACTTCAAAATCAAAATCAGAAGCTAAATACACTTCTTGAATTGCAAAACATCGTTATATGAACTAGATTATGGTTAGTTGGTCATCATTGTAGCAGAATGTTAATAATGATAATATGAACCAAGATATGATTGTCATATAGATATACGGAAAATCATGAGACAGCTGAATTTTGTTCGGCTTTGCACGCTTTTTTGTTAGAGCACTTAGACACTGTATAGAAACTATAAATAAAGTATTGCAGATAATTTATATCACTCAGGAAAAGAGCTTGAGAGGAAAACGGCGTGCAGCTTGGTTGCATTTTCACAGATAAATCGAACAGGCAGATTGATGCCCAGCCAGAGGAACAATCCACAGAGAAAAGGAAAAAGGGTGTTCAAAGAAACAAGAGCCTGTTAAATAGGAGTCAAGTCCTTGTTCATAGCTACAGGTCTATCCCCCTCAGCAATAGAATGCCAAACCCAGCTACTGTCAAGTACCATGTAGCTTCTTTCTTTAGAAAGGAACAAACACCTCGCATCCCTCACTGCATCTTTCTTTTAACAATGTCACACCAGAACAAATAAGGGAAAAAAAGGTAATAATTGGCAAAGTATAATTGAGCACATGCATCTACGAGCTCAGCAATCTGGATGAAGAGAAAATACCTTCTGTGCCAAGTCACAGTAAACTTCCCCAATGTCATTTGATGGATAAATCACTCTAGACCTGCCATTATAATATGTCTCACAAACAAAAGCAAACAATAACTCAAAGAATATTATAAACTTTCTATTATCTTATCTTACCCGGGCAAAGGTAGAAGTACATCTTCGATGGTATATGTACCGGATATAAGGTCTTCTTCATTTATAGCCTGCCAAAAAGCAATTATCACTTGACTTATATTAGACAGATGAGTACTGCTCAGAAAAAAAAAAGGAAAAAAAAAGGTACCAAACAATACCAGCAACAAGTACGCCTCAATACCAAGCAATGCAAGGAAATTCAATACAGAAGAGGTACCAGAACAGAACCTTTTAATCAATTTAACTTCTCCCTTACCTCTCAGCAACCTCAGTAGGCATGAGTTTGCAGACACGTGAACTTTTTTAATATTAAAATTAAAATGGATGCAGTGTTAAACATCAGAAAAGAAGCTATTCAAGTATTCCACCCATATCATAGCTACAACTGACAATCCTGCAGAATATATAGCAAACTAACACCATTTGTTTCACTGTACAACTGGGTAAATGGTGATCTTCCAGGTTACTAAGTTGCATTTGGCATCCTCCTTTTTTTCAGCGCAAAGGATTTAGCAAGCATCATGCCAGTAGAAAACATAGAGAACTTCTAGTACTTATTTTTATTTTATTTGTATAACATGGCCTGAGATGAGGTGGCAAAACATGGTCAGTAAGGATTCATATAGCCCTACATGTTGGAACTGAGGCATAGTTGTTGTTGCATAGGGATTCAGCAGCAGTCTCTTAAAGCCATGTGGTAGCAAGCCACTAACCATCCATGCAAGCAAGTTCATGTCTATGATATACCACCTGCTTAGAGCCCCCTGTTAGTCTTAACCCTAATGATAACTTCACCATTATATGCAAAATCATAGTGATATAGGCTTATAATTATATGTGTATCCCCCCTTTGGTAATTTCATTGGGACATACTCTATACAATACTGTCAGGGAGGAACTTCCGTACAAAATGCGGGCTTGTTTTGAGTTTTATCAAGCTGGAGACCTGGAGAGTGAGCTAGGGAGTTAAAAGGCCCTTTGTTTAATCTTACTAGGGGTTCTTATACTCTGTCCTCTGGATATGAAATGAGAGCTATGCAAACCGATGGAGGGAATACATAAGAACCAAGATGTCATGCAATGCTTTCATAGAAGCTCTTCGCTTAGAAATTTAAGGAACATCTCTTGTGCTCAGATAACCTAGATACCAACCTTGACTGATATATTTTTTTCTTCAGGAAGATCAGTCTCTGAGGTCTCATCCAGATTACTATAATCATCCATGTCGTTGCCATTCACGTCTTCACATTCAGCAACAAAAGTTTCTTTCTCTT